GTCTGTTCCCTCTGTTCCTGCGAGTCAGCAGATCTAAGAGTCTGTCCCCTGTGTTACTTGAGTCAGCAGATTTGAGAGTCCATCACCTCTATTGCGTTGGAAGGTCTGTCAGTCTGTCTCACCTGTCCTGTCTTCTCTTTGTTTATCAGAAGCCGTGGGGTTCTAGCAGAGACCCTGTAAACAGAAAGACACGGAGAGAGAGGCTAAAGACGGGCTGAGATCAATGTAGAAAAACATGACTTAATAGACTCAGATCACATTCACACATAGAAAGACAGACTCACTTGCCGACTAGTGAAGCAAATGGCTGGACCTGCAGGGAGGTGCCCATGATGATGAGGAGATCACAGCGAGGGAAATCCTGAGCAACAGGGAGTGAGAGGAAAAGAAGGGCAAGGAATCAGAGGTTAGAGATTTTCAGAACGTGTGGGAGTAGAGTCTGTGAATACAAACACCCTGCCTCTGTTCTCACCATCTGCAACGAAGTGAAGAATCGAGCTGGGAGGTTCTCCCCGAAGAACACAATGTCTGGGAACACAGAGGAAGAGAGAGTTTCTGATTGAAACAACTAAAACTCAGAGAGGAGTTACTGACTGAGTCCAGCACAGACAGCCCAATAAGATGGACAGACAGAATTAACCGATATTGAATCTCATGGATAGATGGACAGACAGAATGAATCGACAGGTAGATTACATGGATAGATTGAGAGATTGAATCGACAGACGGAATTAATCGATAGATTACTTAGACAGACGGAGACATTGAATAAATGGATGGACAGACAGTATGAATCGATGGGTAGATTATATGGATAGATGGACTGAGAGATGGAATTGATAGCAGGAAAGACATGAGATTAAGAGAGTGACACTCACCAGGCTTCACAAGGCTGCTGCACTTGTCACACTTTGGGATCTCATCTGCAAAGATCTTCTCTGTGAGACAGATAGACACAGAGGCACAGCCAGCTTTAAAAAAATAGCTTTTGGACTTCTCAAACCTGTATTATATGTCCAGCAGTACCTAGTGGCTGTATTAATCTCCACATCCTTTTACTCCTGGCTCTGTCCCACCTGTCTCTCTCCCTCTCCTTGCTCTTTGCCGTCTCTCCTTTTCTCCCTCTTCCCATCTTCCTCCTTGTTCCTCACTGACATCCGTAATCCTTCTCTTCTCCTGTGGCTCCCTGCCTCCCTGCCTCCCTCCCTCCTGCTAACCTTTCATCCAGTCCAGGGTGTACTCTTTCCGGCAGAGGAAGCTGACACAGTGGGAGGTGTAGAACGTGCCATGGGCTTCAACCAGGTCATCTCCCTGTAGCCCTGCCACCCGCTCCAGTGTATCAATGTTCTGTCAGCCAATCAGAGAGCACAGAGACTCTGTCAGGCCCTTTAGTGAGTGCAGATACTCTGTCAGCCAATCAGAGAGCACATGGACTCTATCATCCAATCAAAGCACAGAGATTCTTAGTCTACCAGAGAGCACAGAGAAACTCTCTCAGGCCCTGCAGAGAGCACAGAGAGACTCCGTCAGCCCACGAGAGAGCACAGAAACTCTGTCAGCCAACCAGAGAACACACAGACTCCGTCAGGCCGATTAGTGAGCACGGAGACTCTGTCATCCAATCAGAGCAAAGAGAGATTGTCTGATTCAGTTTTTCTCTCACTGACCTGGGAGTAGCAACGCCTCAGCAGCCCCTTGTCCTTCAGCATCCGGATGAAGTAATGACACACTGTGGGCTGGGGAAACGGATATCACACAAGTGTGTGTTATTACTCAACCAGGAGCCTAAAACACCATCTACACCTACACATGACTACACAATCAACACACACACGATACATGGTTCTCTAACTGAGAAGAGATGAGACGCACTGGGATTTCAATGCAACGAAGCAAAACACAACTGAACAAGATATGTTGGATATTCAACACATACTGTGACATACAGATACACAAGCCTGACAGGCAGCATGTCTCACCTTGAACTGCCCGGGGTACAGCTCTCTGGCCAGGGCAAAGAAAGGCTCTGGGTGTTTCTGAAAGAGAAAGAGCCACGTAATTTCCAGGCAGTCAGGCACAAGTGACATGCA